CTTCCTGTGATACTTCTAAGATTCCTGCCAAAGGCTTGAGAGAAATAACTACCAGGGGTATGATGAGTTCATCTCTTACAGACAGTTCCGATGAAGGCCTAGCAGCCTGAACTTCTCACCCAGGCTCCTATGTGTGTCCTAGCCCGGCCTGCTGGGGAGTGTCCCGGGTGGGGCCCTCCAAGATATTCAGGAACCTAAGTCACTGCGGATGTGTTCCTAACCCAGGGATCAAAGGCAAATCAGGGAGCAGCGCCTCCCCCTTGCGCTGTAGCTGCAGGGCATGGGAAAGGTCTCCAGGCCGGCAGATGTTTGGAAAAGGCAGATTCTGGAGAGCAGAGGTGGATACGCCACCATGCCAAAGAGACAATTCTGGTATGTAATTCTGTGAGGGTGGGGCCTTTCAACAATCACAGGCCATCCACCGGGAGGGTATCCGACATGGGGGTGGGGAGCAAAAAGAAAGAGGACAGTCAGAAGTCAGCAGGTGGTGTCACAGTGGCAGGACTCAGCCAAGGAAGGCCACGCCTCTGCTCCGCTTTCCCCTCTGATGTTCTGTCGAGTGGGCAGGCTGCAGTGGGAATACTGACCTCTGTTCCAGCCCATAAACCCAAAAACAGCTGCCCCTGGACATGAGTTGAGGTGCAGGAGAAAAAAAGTTAAACGTCGAGGGTTCTAGCTAAACAAAGAAAATTAAGTATATGCACGTTTTCCAGGGACACGAAATCTATGTGGAACTGTGTGAATTTCACTGAGCTTGTACAAGAATTAAATGTAAATTAGCTATGTGCTTTAACCATCAGGACTTCAAGGAACAGCATAGGCTCTCTTGGCCATTCGATAAAGAACGATGGCCAAAATGGCCCAGGGGAAAGAACTTAAGAAATAAAAAAAAGTCCAGGTTTTCTTGGAATTCTTTAGTTTGTGTAATTTCAGATCAATTTTATATTCATATGTGCCTGTACTGGAAAAGTCAGCGGGGTGTCCTTAGCTTTTTACTATCACTGTTTACAACAATTGCATCAGATCCAGCTAATTTTTCTAGTGAGAACCGGTCCAGGTTCAAGTGAGGGTCATGACTAGAGATTTCTGAGAGAGGGTCAAGCACTGAGGGCCGAGCGGAGCAGCCTGGCGGGAACTGGATGCTCAGGAGCGCACCCCTGGCTGACACTGAGGGGGCTTCTTTCCTTCCCCTTCCCCCACCTGCCTGAAGAGAGGATTCCCCAGTGTCCACTCTTGGTCCTCTCTTCACTGTCCCAGCTGTCCCTGAGTGACCTCATGCATTCTCAGGGCCTTCCTCCTCATATGATGGTGCCCTAGGCAGGCACCCTACTGCACACTGGACATTGGCGCCTCACCCACCCAACACCTCAGCCCACCCCATCTTCCCTCCAGACTTGTCCCTCCTCCACGGTTGTTCCCCACCTCAGGGAAGGGCATTTCTACCACCCAGCTGCTCAAACCAGGAGGACCCTGCTTACCCTCAATTCTGAACAACAACAACAATGACAACATCAAAACACTTGTTATTCATAGGCTGTTATGAAAATTAATCGAGATCAACATAAAGAGCTTAGCACACAACCTCATGCATAATGAACACTCACTATTAGCATCTGGCAAGGCAAGGCATTTTTTAAAACATTGCTACTGTTTTTAGTAATGCAATACAAACACCTAAAATATATAGAGAGAAGTGAATAACAAGAATATAAAGTCTCTCTCTTCCTTGCAATCTCCTGCCTAATTTTGTAGCTTCTTGCTCGTTCTTTCTGAAAGCTTAGGCATATTAAAGTTATCCTGAGTACCTGGTTGAAAAAGGTCACAAAAGAGGGCATTTAAAATATATATCAAATCTTTTTTTTAATACAAAATAATATATACTAGAGAAATCCCCTATCTCTGACCTTATTATGTCTGTTCCTGACCGTACCTCAAGCCTGTTCCTAAACCCTATAGACTAGTGAGGCAGGTAGCTAGCCAGAGAAAAGACGTGGTTACTTGCAGGAGGTTAAAAGCAGTACAGGCTAGGCCAAACAGGTTGGTACAAGAACCTGCTTCCTAGTGAAAAGGAATGGTTACAACAGGCTGTACCAATAACAACAGACTGCAGCCATCCTGCTTTAGGCACAGATGAGAATGTAACATAGAAGAAACTGGCCACAACTAGTCAAATCCAAGATACACATGCTACAATTAATTAGTATATGTTTAAAAACACAAATGATGCAAATAAATGACTGCCAACCCTTGGCTACATTACACCCTCATTACCATAAAATTTCCATGAGAAAGAGCCTCTCATTCCTACCATGCACCTAACACTTCTGGGTTAACCATATTTAGTCAATAGAAGGGTGGCACCCCATACTGAGAACTGCCCATCAATTTCTTGGAAAACCCATTCCCTTAGTATAGAATATTCCATGCCTTCATTATGCCTATCCATCTAGTACGTGAGCCCTGGCCATGCTGAGCGTGGCCCCTTCTTCTAAGCATGTCCCCGTTCCTCTCGAGTGTGTTCTTGCTTTTGCTCTGCAATAAATCTGCTACACTTTCACTTTTGTCTTGCTTTCATATTCTTTTGTGTGGCAAAGACAAGAACATGAAATGGCTCCGCTGGCAACACTGGGATTGCAGTCAGGTTCATGGTGTGGGGTGGGGAAGGGGGAAGATGCCTTTCCTACACATTTTTTTTTTTTTAAACTAAAAGTTCAAATGAGCCCATCCAAATGTCATATGGTCTTGTCTGCGTAATTCCTACTACCATTTATTAGCTGTTAGTGGGCAAATTATTTCACCCCTCTGTTTCTCAGTTTCCTACTCTGTAAAGGGCAAATGATGTTAAGAGCCTATCTTTATAGACAAGAACTCTGAAGAGCTTAAAATAAAAAGGAGCCTATCTTATAGCATTACAATGGGAATTTAATGAGTAAATATTTGTAACATGCTTACATGCAGTGCCTGGTACATAATAAGCACTTTGTAAGTGTTTTAAAGAAATAAAAGAACGATTTATGGGGATCTGTATTCATTTATAGACTCAAGATTTTAAAGGTGGAAGTGACTGTGATGATCATGTAACCCCCGTCTCCTTCCCCCAATGACTTGCCCAAGGACTCAGTTAATCGTCACATATTATTTATTATGACATAATAATATGAAATGTAATGCTGTACATTTTCTGTGATAAATATTCTCAAAGGAAAAGTATTTAAAATATATTATCAGTATTCATAAAGACTTTAATTATTTAATATTATTAACGTTATTTAATATACTCAAATCAAGTATGGGCCTTTGTGTGTATACGTAAATGTAGATACCATTTTTGTCAACACTGCCTTCCAACCCCTACCCCAGCCCCATGTGAAAATCACTGTTATTTACTAGCCTTTTAAATACTAAAGGCAGTGATAGATATACCGTATAATCCTAACCAATTCCTTAACTCTATCAAACACTACTGAACAAGGTGAATGTCCTTGGTTTGCACATGCTATAATTATTAGAAACACGAATAGTATTTATTAGAAACACGAATTATACAGATGGCTTACTGGCCTAACATTAAATTAAAAATTCAGAGATGGCCAGGCACAATGGATCGGGCCTGTAAATCCTAGCACTTTGAGTCCAAGGCGCAGAGATCACTTGAGGTCAGGAATTCGAAACCAGCCTGGCCAACATGGTAAAATCCCATCCCCATTAAAAATACACAAAAAAATTAGCTGGGTGTTGTGGCGGGCGCCTGCAATCCCGGCTATTTGAGAGGCTGAGGCAGGGGAATTGCTTGAACCTGGGAGGCAGAGGTTGCAGTGAGCTGAGATTGCACCACTGCCCTCTAGCCTGGGTGACAGAGCGAAACACTGTCTTGAAAAAAACTAGAAGAAATTCAGAGATCATCTTGAGCATCAAGGCTGTATGTCAGCAGCTTGAGTAAATACTGCAAACGAAAATGCAAATTTAATACATTTCTTCTCCTTTAAAATAGTTCACTCAGGAGCTGTGGTTTGCTGCAATTTGTCTAAAGGTTATAAACTCTGTAAATATTTTAACACCTTGGCTATCCCTATATTCTGATAAAGTCACAGTTTCAATGAGCTCACCTAGGTACTTAGATTTGCAAGTAGCTTCTCATGACTCACAGGAGAAAATATTCTTCAATTAATAATTCAACAAAAACATCAGAATACATTACAACTGTGATTGTTACAATAATAAAAAGTGCACTTTCCTGACTCGCAGGGACAAACATTTATGGAGCGCTGACTATGTAGCCTTGCTGAAGCAAGGACATGGTTGTCATTCTGGAGGTCACACCTTCTGCAAAGACAGCAAACCTGTCTAGTTTCTGGGGCCTAAAATGAGAGCTAGAGAGACAGAAAGATAGAGAGCAAGAGAAAGCTACACATTTACATATTCAGAACCTTAGAACCAGGTCTTGGTTCTCCCTACCTGACACATCCTTAGTACAATAAATATTTTCAAACCAATCAAGAAAGGCAACACTGTTTAACAACTCTTCAAGAGTGAATTGGGACCTAGGGCATTCACTGTCTAACTACACAGGAGAGATGCTTGCAGAAAACCAAAGGTGAGTGAAATTCTTGCTGTGGCTAACACTTGCGGGAGCTGTTGACTCTCCCGTCCTGGTTTGTCTACCTGGCAGAAGCTGCCTGCCCTCAGGCTGTGACTCACTTTAAGATCTGCATTCACTCAGCATTTCAAGTATGTACGTGAAATGTGGAGCCCACAAAGCTTTAAAAATAAAACAGGGACCGGCTCCATCTCTGTGTCTTTGGTCCGCAAGGAAGAAAACAAATAAAATCAAAACCCCTTACTGCTGTCTTGGCATCCATCATGACTTACCACGTGAGTGGCTGAGTGTCTACTTAACCACTCATCAATCTCAAATTTTAAAAGCGCTGTCATTCCCCTTGGACTGGAGATCTTCCTTCTGCCTGCTTTCTTATATTTGCAAAGCGGCAAATCTGTGTCTTGGTGGATCTCAAGAGGAAAGGAAAGAAACTCCACGCTTCTTTGTAGCCAAGCCACCTCCATCTGTCTACCTCCTCTGCTTCTTCCTTTGAACCACCCCGGGTATGACTACTCCTTTGGCCTCTGTTCCACCCACAGCTCCTACGCCCTGAGAATCTCAGCTCGCACACCTCCAGCCAAATGTTTTTCTTGCTTCATAATATTTTTGGAGACATAGCTGCTGTAAGAATTATTCCAGTTATAACAACCTCCTGCCTCTCTAACCATTTTTACACAAGCCAGGCCCTTATCAGGAGTGCTGCGGTATCTAGCATTGCAACCCTATTCCACAGTGATATGGTAATGCCTTTGGGGGTATGTATATACGAATCCTACTACAGGCTATATCATAGCAGGTCATGTGCTCTACAAGAGAAGACTTCCTGGTTTTTCTGGATGACACGAATATTATTATTCTGAACTTTATATCTCTAAATGATTTCACATTAATTGTACTGGCACATCCCTATGATATATCTGAAAGAGTTTTTCTGTTGTTAAAGCATAGACTTGGATGGAAAAGCCCATAACGTAGTCAAGGCATCTCAGATCATATGCAGCAGCAAGTAGATAAGGATTCACCACCCACATGTTTGAGATTCAAAACTTGGCCCACTAAGCCACCTATATCATCCTATAAATACAACTGCATAATCAGAGACACAATCTTGGTCCTTGCAAGCCTGATTTTAAAATATGTAATAGAATTTGTATTCTTGGTTTAAAATGTAATCTTTCATTAACACTTTAGACATAAAATCTCCAGGAAACTACTACAAAGCTACTAGAACTCATGAGTGAGTTTTAGAAAGACTGAAGGATACAAAGACAGTATACAAAAAATTATATACTAGCAATGGGCAACCGAAGACAAATAAAAAACTGTATCATTTATAATAACACCACAAACATGAAATTCTTAGATATTATAAAGGTGAACCACTCATATGCTGAAAACTACAAATCACTCTTGAAAAAACCAAAGGAGACCTAAATAGAGACTTATACTGTGTTTATTAATACAAAGACTAAATAGTGTCGAGACATCAATTGTCCACAAACCGACACAGATGATTCCACAAATCCAAACTAAAACCCCTTTAGGATTTTTAAAATAAATATCGATAAACTGTAAAATTTTTATGGAAAGTCAGAGGCACTAGAATAGCCAAAGCAATCCTGACAAAGAGCAACGTTAAAGAACTCAAACTATTGCATTCTAAGACTTACCTAGGTAATCAAGACAGTGTCACATTACTGAAAGGACAGACATTTAGATAAATGGGGCAGAACAGATAATCCAGAAATAGGCTTATACATATATGGGTAAAGGCAATTTAATAAAGACAGTATCTGTAATCTCAGCACTTTGGGAGGCCGAGGCGGGTGGATCACGAGGTCAAGAGATCGAGACCATCCTGGTCAACATGGTGAAACCTCGTCTCTACTAAAAATACAAAACATTAGCTGGACATGGTGGCGCGTGCCTGTAATCCCAGCTACTCAGGAGGCTGAGGCAGGAGAATTGCCTGAACCCAGGAGGCGGAGGTTGCGGTGAGCCGAGATGGCACCATTGCACTCCAGCCTGGGTAACATGAGTGAAACTCCGTCTCAATCGTTTTACATAGGTATTGAAAAGACAGTATCGTCTTTTCAATACCTATGTAAAACGATTGGACATTGATATGCAAAGTAAATTTTGACTCATACCATGTACTTCCTAAAAAAAAGAACTAAAAATGGATCGTCGACCTAAATATAAAACACAAACATATTAAATTTCCACAAGAAAACACTGGGTAAAATAGTTGTGACCTTATATTAGGCAAAGATTTCTTAGACATGACATTAAAAGCATAAATAAAAATCAGTAAGTTGGACTTCAGCAAAATTAAAAACTTCTGTTCTGTGAAAGATACTGTTAAGAGATTGAAAATACAAGCTACAGCCTGGCAGAAAATATTTACAAAACACATTTTTGACAAAGGACTCATATCTATGACATATCAAAACTCTCAAAACTCAATAATTAAAAAAAATACAATTGAAAATGATCAAAAGAGTTGAATAGATATTTTATAAAAGAGGACGTATGGATGGTAAATAAGCATATGAATATATGTTCAACATTATTAGTCATTAAGAAAGTACAAATGAGTTAATACCAGACATCTATTAAGATGTCTAAAAGCAAAACAAAACCTGACAATATTAAGTACTAACGAAGATGTGGAACAGTAAGGACTCTCATACATTGTCAATGGGAGTACAAGATGCTATTTCACTTTGGAAAAATTTGGTGGTTTATTGTAAAGTTAAAATAAACTTATCTTGTAGACCCCACGATCCCATTCCTAGGATTTTACATAAAAGAAATGAAAACTTAAATACTCATACAAAAACTTGAATATGAATGTTCAGAGTGGGTTTATAACCACCCAAACTGGCAACAACACAAATATTCTTCAACTGCCAAATGGATAAACAAACATAGAACATCCATTCAATAGAAGACTATTTAGAAAGAGAAAGCAATGAACTATTAAAATGTATAACAACATAAATAAATTCTTTATTATTTTACAACAAGTGAAAGAAACCATACTAAGAAGGCTACATGCTGCTTGATTTCATTTGTATGATATTCTGGCAAAACTATAGGTACAAAAAACAAATCAGTGGTTGCCAAGGTTTGGGAGTAGGGGTAGAAGTTGTTGACGAGGAATGGGGAAATTTTGGGAGTGATGAAACTGCTTTAAATCTGTTTTTTTTTTTTTTTTTTTTTTTTTTATTGTTGTTTTTTGATACAGAGTCCTGCTCTATTACCTAGGCTGGAGTACAGTGGCACAATCTAGGCTCACTGCAACATCTGCCTCTTGGGCTGGCCTTGAGTGTCTGTGGCTTTTCCAGGTGCAGAGTGCAAGCTGTCAGTGGATCTACCATTCTGGGATCTGTAGGACAGTGGCCCGATTCTCACAGCTCTACTAGGCAATGCCTAGTAAGGACTCTGGGGGGGATCTAATTCCACATTTCTCTTCTGCATCCCTAGCAGAGATTTTCCAGGAGGCCCCCACCCCTGCAGCAGACTTTTGCCTGGGCATCCAGGTGTTTCCATACATCTTCTGAAATCTATGTGGAGGTTCCCAAACCTCAATTCTTGACTACTGTGCACCCACAGGCTCAACAACATGTGGAAGCTGCCCAGGTTTGGGGTTTGCATCCTCTGAAACCATAAGCCAAGCTGAACCTTGGCCCCTTCCTTTTAGCAACAGCTGGAACAGCCAAGACACAGGGCACTAAATTCCTAGGCTGCACACAGCATCAGGATTCTGGGCCCAGCCCACAAAACCATTTTTTCCTCCTAGGCTTCTGAGTCTATGATGGGAGGGGCTGCCATGAAGACCTATGACATGCCCTGGAGACATTTTCCCCATTGTCTTGGGGATTAACATTTGGCTCCTTGTTACTTATGCAAATTTCTTCAGCCAACTTGAATTTCTCCTAAAAAAATGGGGTTTTCTTTTCTACTGAATTGTCAGGCTGCAAATTTTCTGAAATTTTATGCTCTGTTTCCCTTTTCTTTCTTTTTTTAAAATTTATTTTATTGCATTTAAGGTTTTGGGGTACATGTGAAGAACATGAAAGACTGTTGCATAGGTATATACGTGGCAGTGTGATTTGCTGCCTTCCTCCCCATCACCTATATCTGGCATTTCTCCCCATGCTATCTCTCCCCAACTCCCCACCCCCCACTGTACCTCCCCTATTTCCCCCCAACAGACCCCAGTGTGTAGTGCTCCCCTCCCTGTGTCCATGTGTTCTCATTGTTCAACACCCGCCTATGAGTGAGAACATGTGGTGTTTGATTTTCTGCTCTTGTGTTACTTTGCTGAGAATGACGGTTTCCAGGTTCATCCATGTCGAAAGAAACAGTCATTAGAGTGAATTGGCAACCAACAGAATGGGAAAAAATTTTTGCAGTTTACCCATCTGACAAAGGGCTGATATCCAGAATCTACAAAGAGCTAAAACAGATTTACAAGAAAAAAACAAACAAGCCCATTCAAAAGTGGGCTAAGGATATGAACAGATACTTTACAAAAGAAGGCATACATGAGGCCAACAAACATATGAAAAAATGCTCATCATCACTGGTCATCAGAGAAATGCAAATCAAAACTACATTGAGATACCATCTCATGCCAGTTAGAATGGTGATCATTAAAAAATCTGGAGACAACAGATGCTGGAGAGGATGTGGAGAAATAGGAACACTTTTACACTGTTGGTGGGAGTGTAAATTAGTTCAACCATTGTGGAAGACAGTGTGGCGATTCCTCAAGGACCTAGAAATAGAACTTCCATTTGACCCAGCAATCCCATTACTGGGTATATAGCCAAAGGATTATAAATCCTTCTACTATAAGGACACGTGCACACGAATGTTCATTGCAGCACTGTTTACAATAGCAAAGACCTGGAACCAACCCAAATGCCCATCGATGATAGACTGGACAGGGAAAATGTGGCACATATACACCATGGAATATTATGTTTCCCTTTTCAAATGGAGTGCCTTTAATAGCATCCAAGTCACCTCTTGAATGCTTTGTTTGCTGCTTAAAAATTTCTTCTGTCAGTTGCCCTAAATTATGTCTCTCAAGTTCAAAGTTCCATAAATCTCTAGGGCAGGGTCATATTGCCACCAGTCTCTTTGCTAAAATATACAAGAGTCACCTTTGCTCCAGTTCCCAACAAGTTCCTCATCTCCATCTGAGACCACCTCAGCCTAGACCTTAGTGTTCATATCACTATCAGCATTTTTGTCAAAGCCATTCAACAAATTTCCAGGAGGTTCTAAACTTTCCCACGTTTTCCTGTCTTCTTCTGAGCTCGCCAAACTGTTCCAACCTCTGCCTGATATTCCAAAGTTGCTTCCACATTTTCAAGTATCTTTTCAGTAACACCCCATTCCTGGTACCAATTTACTGTATTAGTCTGTTTTTATACTGCTAATAAAGACATACCCCAGACTTACAGTTGTAAGAGCTGTAATTAGACTTACAGTTCCACATGGCTGGGGAGGCCTCAGAATCATGGCAGGAGGTAAAAGGCCCTTCTTACATGGTGGCATTAAGAGAGAATGAGGAAGATGCAAAAGCGGAATCCCCTGATAAAACCATCAAATCTTGTGAGACTTACTCATTACCATGAGAACAGTATGAAGAAAACTGCCCCCATGATTCAAATTATCTCCCACTGGGTCCTTCCCATAACATGTGGAATTATGGGAGTACAATTCAAGATGAGGTTTGGGTGGGAACACAGGGCCAAACATATTGATATGTTATACCTTGGCTGGGTTTGGTGGCTCACACCTGTAATTCCAGCACTTTGGGAGGCTGAGGTGAGCGGATCACTTTGGGCCAAGAGGAGTTTGGGACCAGCCTGGCCAACATGGTGAAACTTGGTCTCTACTAAAAATACAAAAATTAGCCAGGTGTGGTGGTGCAAACTTGTAATCCCAGCTACTCCAGAGACTAAGGCAGGAGAATCACTTGAACCCAGAAGACAAAGGTTTTAGTGAACTGAGATCACACCACTGCATTCCAGCCTGGGAGACAAAGCCAGACTCTGCTTCAAATATATATGTGTGTGTGTATATATGTATGTATGTGTGTATGTGTGTGTGTGTGTGTGTATATATATATATACACATATATATATACACACACATATATACATACATGTGTATATACATACATATGTGTGTGTGTGTATATATATACACACACACACATATATACACACAAACATATGTATACATACACATATATATGTATGTATATACACATGTATGTATATATACAGATACATATATATGTGTATGTGTGTATATATGTGTGTATATATACACAAGGTGGCATATATATATACATGTATATATACACATACATACATATGTATGTTCATATATATGTGTTTTGCTTCAAATTTATGTGTGTGTATACACACACACACAGATATGTTATACCTCAACTTACTGTAAACATACATTTCAAAACTTCAATTGGAAAAAAATAATAGATAATTTTTTAAATATTTAAAAAAAGCCAACTAGCAAAAATAATACATGGTTAAAACAGAGAGAAAACTCAGGATGAAGAGCTGACTGGCTGCATAGCTCTGAGTGGAGTGAATGCTTATGAGGAAGAATCTGCTCCTGCTTGGTGTGTACCTTAGACACGCAGAAGAGGAAACACTGCTTTTCCAATTCATTACGTTTACAGAATCACAACCAACTCATCCATTCACATCATAAGCTCTTAAATGGCATTTTGTTTGTTTTTCATCCAAAGAGCTTACTCCTGTAATTTATGATTTGAAGAGTTCTTTGCTCTTTTACCCATGTAAGCAAACCCATAGTATTACATTCTTGAACATTCAGATATCATTTCTTAACACAAACCTATTTTCTCTTCATATAGAAAACACAGAGTGACTGGTTTGTAACACAAAAATATATATGTCTGAAGATTTGACAGGCCTAAATTAGGTAACTTACACACTATTTAATGTGTATTGATCTCTCCTGACTTCATAAGTTTTGCTAATCATTACTTTCCCTTTAAACTGCTACCTTATCTATATCAAATGTAGAATATACCAGAAAGAGCATTGGATTTGGCATTACGAGTACTGGGTTTTAAGGTCACCTTAACCCTACACTAGCTGTATGGCCTTGGTAAAATGACTCATCTCCCATAACTAATCCTTATCTTCAGCTCTTACCTATCTTCAGGCTTTAGTTATAAAACTTCAAATTTCTACAGACACACCACCTCTCGGGCAGCATTTAATTTTTCAGGAATATAGTTTCTTCTGGATCTTTTATTATTACCCAAATTATAATTGTTATTTGTTCATGTATTCATGCCGCAGTTCTTCAACTGAGCTTCTTCAACAAGATTATATGTTGTTTTAAGGGGAAGAAATTATCCATATATACATCTTTGTCTCCTTACACTATCACAAAATAATAGCTTAAATAGGCCAGTGTGCTGCTACAATTACTTGAGCTTACATATACCAGTTTGAGGAGATAATCACTTGACTTTGCAAAAAATACAGCCAGGTTTGACCTACTCGTAGTTTTTCAGAGCCTTCCCTGACCACACATGCTGAGCCTGCTCATGCCGTTCCCCTCCACTGACCCATCCATGCCTTCCCATCACCGTCTACATCCTCATTTTGTTTTAGCTTGTTCATGGCATTTACGCTCTCCGAAATAACCTTTCCCCCTCCTTCTTTCTTTTCCTGACTCTCTCCCTCTCTTTCCTTTCTCTGTCTTTTTCCTAATCTATTGTCCAAAGGCCCCTCCTAGGATTTAAGTTCCATGAAAACGCAAACTGATCATGCTCATTAAAAGTAGTGCATTGGGAACCTGCACCCGGGGCTGGCACATGGGAGGCACTCAATGAATACTTGCTGAGTAGTTGAACTTGCCCTTCAGTATAGTGATGCCTGTTGCAGACTGATCAGTGGAAAGAAACAAAAATACTTCATGTGGTTTACCTGCAAAGAGGTTCTACAAGGTCCTTTTCAAGAAAATCATGATCATTCTTGACAGCCACAATGTTGATGGGAAATTGTGAATCTGAGAGAGAGAGAGAGAGAGACAAAGAGGTTGATGTGCTTTGCTTTATCTGAATGGGCACCAACATATTCAGACCTTCAAGGTCTGTAAAAACCACTGATTTTAATAGCAGTGACTGCCCATCATCATTGTTGGTAATGTTTAAGAGAGCAAACGATTTTTATCACTATAAACGCTTTCAGGAGTACGAGATAAGTGCGAAATATGAGGATGGTCAAGTGCTTGGCCTTGGATGGGATTGAACACCAAGCACCTGCATTTTTCTGTCTCGTCCTTTTCACAGTCATAGGCGGATGTGGCCTCGGAGAAGAGCTTTTGCACTTTCACCATCCATCTAACACGTAGGTCACTGGAGTCTAGCTCGGTGATTTCATTAAATACTTTGTTTGGCAGATTTTTTTTTCCCTTCAAAAAGGAAATTTCCAAAAATATCCAAAGTTCTATTATCTCAATTTATTTTTTCTTTGGTAGCAAAATCTTGAGTCACTCTGGAGTATCAGCAAAATACTCAGACTGATTCTATCCAAAAAGAAGAATTTGAATGCTACAACTTATCTCCAACAGACACGAATTCGTGCCAGCTTTGAAGGTCACGGGCAATATTTAGAACAAGGTGTTAATTCTGGGTACTTCATTGATGGAGGTAGCAATCTGCAGCTCATTAGAATAGAGGGCATAGCCACATGTAGCAATGCTGGGTCATTATCATTGTCTTGCCACTTTTTTCTTTATCTCATATTATACTTTGTGCTGTCTACACCTTGCCAATCTTAGTGTGAGTTGGAAACAGAAATAATTCCCCTTCTGGTGAAAAAAAATCATGTGAGTGATGGTTCCAGAATGAAGCTGTCTTGCTTGGCTAGTGATGGAAGGAGGGAGACACTTGTGATTCTTTTTATGGGAGGCTGCCTCTTGCCAGCTGCGCTCCTTCCTAGGGTCTGGTTTTGTGACGTCCTAGGGTCTGGTTTGAAGCTCCTCTCTCCTCCTGGGCTCTGGCACCCTCTTCCTTGGCCTGTCCCTTTGGGCTCATGGTAGTGACAGCTCTGCCACTAAAAGCCCTGGACCCTTGCACTGTGCACTGTTCCTTGTGGCTCCCCGTCCTGCCTGCACCTTTGTAATGAGCACTGTTAGAAATAAATCCTCTGCAGATGGCCTTGAGCCTGCCATCTGCTCACTGGTGGGGTCCTGACTAGTTCATTACTATATAAGGACAATCCAAGAAGAAGTTACAAGATTGGGTTATAATTTTAGATTATAAGGGACATGAATATATCTATTAACTGTCAAAGAATCAATGAAAGGGCCAGGCAGTGGCTCACACCTGTAATTACAGCACTTTGGGAGGCTAAGATGGGCAGATCACTTGAGGTCAGGGGTTTGAGACCAGCCTGACCAACATGATGAAACCCTGTCTCTACTAAAAATATAAAAATTAGTCAGGTGTGATGGCACATGCTTGTAATCCCAGCTACTTAAGAGGCTGAGGTAGGAGAATTGCTTGAACCCAGGAGGTGAAGGTTGTAGTGAGCAGAGATTGCACCACTGCACCCCAGTCTGGTTGGCAGAGCCAGACTCTCTCTCTCAAAAAAAAAAAAATAAATGAAAGGAAATTTAATGTTAGCAATAAAACACCTTACCTAAAACTCAGAAGAATAACATCTGATTCATGTTATATCTTAACATTTTTCATGGAAAGTAAATAGAATTAAAGAGAAACCTCAGGACAATTAATTTTGTGACTTCTAGGAAGTTTATTAACAGTAAATTCATTGTGATTTCAAGAAAACTGAGAGTAGTAAAGGAAAAACAGGAGAAAAGGAAGAAGGTGCAGAAAAGCTGCTGATGGCAGAATACTGGAAGGAAAACACAGAGTTGGGGTTTGTGGTAAAGAGATGTGAATTGGTATCGGGAAGCAGAGAGTAAAGTGGGCCTGGGAAGCGATACTCATTTCTAAATTGGTATCAGGGTAACCCCAAAGGCTGAGGGAAAAAGAAAGCAAAGCAAAATGGGCGAGAAAAAAATCTGGAAGTCAAAACACACCACAGGATACGTGTGGTTCCTTTTGGATTTATTCTCTGTGTGAGAGTGAAGGGAAGGCTGACGTACCCTCGTATAACTGAGCGTATTGCGGGAACCCGGCAGCACGGAGCCAGTCACATGCTTCTTTTGCCTCAATTTCTGAAAAACACAAGAGAGAGAAAATTGTGAGTCCCATAGCCGCACCCTAGTGCTCTGCCTTCTTAATCATGGAGACACTGGTGAGCTTTGTGCAAGTTATTACAAAACAAAATTGTTCCAGGTAAGTCTGCATAAGGAGGCCTACCCAGGAGGGGTTGGAAAATGAGCAGGTAATACAAAGGTCTTTGTTATGTGTCTACTAAGATTATCTTCAATGTAGATCCATAAGTATGTGGATAATAACAAAACCACAGATAACAGAACACAAAGGCTGAGTCTCAGGGATGGAAAAATGTCTTATTTATACACCAGGGAACCAGGGCACTAGGGGGAAAGAGGAGATTCTTCTTCACAATTCTTCTTTTTTTTTAAATGGATTTTTAAGTTTCAAAGATAAGGCTAAAAATGTTTATTCAACATTCCTTTATTCTTTCACTCTTGGGACAATGAAAAAAGACTATAACTGGATTGTCTATGAAAATGGGTTTTCTCATGAAAAAAAGGTATTGCAAAAATCCAGTATAATGTTGTTTTTAAAATTTCACTAATGGCCTTAATTCCTCATGCATTATAACAAGATGCTCATTCATCAAGCACACTGGAATGGTTTCAAGATTCAGAGTGCAGCATAGAAGAGAAAAGTTGATCATCTGGAATTGAGACTTGAGTTTCGTGGGCCTGCTGGAATGCCTGAGGGCCAAGCCCAGGAGGTTGATATGTCCCTTGGGTGACCATTTTTGGTGTGGATGCACCAACAGCCCACCGGACCACTGCCTGGGGGAGCTGTGGAGTGAGATGGAAGGAGTCTACAGTATGTGAACCAGGTCACTTTTTGACCCTGTGAATCCTGGATCATTTCCCAACCGCAACTCTGTTAGACAAATATGAATCCAAGGGAAAAGAAGTTCATCTGTCAAAAGTCCAGTTTCTCCAAACAAAATTAAACAGCCTATCATCACAAGTCTTTACCAAGGCCCTTTCCTCCGCTGTTAGGATGGGTGTCCATCAGGTCATTGTGTTTCCATTTACTATGATGCTTATTTTTCCCCATAGCCAAAGCTGGAGTGTACAGGGCATTCTTGGGATTGCGGCATAGAAATGATCTACACTAACATCACCCTGGGTCTGCGACTGTACCTTAACATTGAAAGCTCAGTGTCTGTGCAGCAAGATGTTTGATATGCCAAAGCTATTTGGTATATGTTAGGAAAATAGACCAAAGGTCAGATCTTACTCAGGCATCACCAGGTAGAGCAAAACCCTACCGCCTGGTCCCGCGGATCTGGTTGCATCTAGATTGAACTTTGTCATTAAATCCAGGGAAACAGAGCTTGTGGCAGCTTTTGCCCTGGAGCGCCTGCCTCTTTTGACAGCCCCTAATGTACTCTTACTCCAGGGACTGACGATTTCAAAAGCTTGAGATTTATCTCTGATGTGAGGGTTTTCCATGTAAGTTTGACCAGCATGTTCCTACCACATACTCATTTCCACCATGGACACATGGCTCAGAAACATTCAGGGAACCAAGCTGGCACAAAAGCTTTGGAAAGCATTTCTATCAGAAAGGAAGTCTCTGAGATCTCCAACTGCTGTTCAAAACAGAGCTTCACTGAATTGTGCTGCATGGGCTAACTTGGGCTTTCCCCTGGGAAGGTACAAAACGCAATTCTTGCATTGCTCAAAAGTTCTAGTTAGTACCCAATTGAGAGTCTGTATTTGAAGGCTTCTACTCTGATAACCACACAAGGATTTCCGAGGAAACAGGAAACGCACTTTCTATTTGTAACGCATGGAAAATGTGGTGAGTTGCTACTGAGTCATGGACAAAGTGCTGCCTAATAGATTTTCAAGCTTCAGATTTGCTTTCCGCTTCCATATAATACAGTGAGTAGTAACGAGAAAACACCTAATTTCTAGACATGCTCTAAACCTAATTATGAGTCAGCAAGCCTTGGAGAGAAGCGCAGAATACCGTATTTTCTCTTGGCACCACATGAATTTTATGCCTTTTCTTGCTTTATTATTACCTTTACTACAATCAAAATGTGGTATTCAGCAAGAAAGTTCCAGAGAGCCAGGCCATGAAGAACAAATGGGGAAGACCCGCAAGACAGGGGCTCTGCAGCCTAGCAGGCTCAAAGGCAGAGAGTTGGAAGTGATCTATGAAAGAGTTCACACCCCTCTAGCCCAGGGAATGTGGTGAGCTCAGATCCTGAAGATGAAAAGGACAGCACGGTGTAGAAGAAGTGGGCAGCTACAAATCCTTCTAGAAAACTCCCTTGGGAACGTCACATGTTTTCACTGATTTGTGGTATCTAAAAATCAAAATTACTGAACTCATGGAGAAAGAGAGCAGAAGGATGGTTCCCAGAGGCTGGGAAGGGGAATGGGGGCTGGAGGGGAGTTGGGGATAGTTAATGGGTACAAAAAAATTAGAAAGAATAAATAAGACCTACCATTTGATAGCACAACAGTCAATAATAACTTAATTGTACATTTTAAAATAACTAAAAGTATACAATTGGTTTGTTTGTAATACAAAGAATAAATGCCTGAGGGAATGAATACCCCATTCTTCATGATGTAGTTAGTTCACATTGCACACCTGTATCAAAATATCTCACATACCCCATAAATATATACACCTACTATGCTCCCACAAAAATTAAAAATTTAAAAATTTTAAAAACAACACTTTTTTTGGAACTTAAAATTCTGGTTGGACAGTGGGATGGGGCTGAAGCTAGCCAGGGAAATTTTATTTAAAAGTCTCCTCAGATAGCAACTGCATTTTATTTTTTTTATGACACCAACATGGATAATGAACTGAAATCCGATTCAGATACAAACATTAATAACCAAATCTTAACCACAGAACCCAGATGAATCAATCATTTAAATAAGCTGATTAAAAAAAAAAAAAAAAAAAGAATGGGTAGGCACTTAAGCTTTTAGACCTCAGGGTCAAATAACAACAAAATGGCAATTAGTAAATATCATAAATTGGAAGCAGCCAAATCCCAGCCGTGGCGGGTGGCTCATGCGGCATCACTTCCTATACCCAACTTGCCATTCTATTTTTCCAAATGTCTCTCAAACACACACCCTCTTTTCATATTCCCTCTACCCTAGCTGCAGTTCCAACATCTTGAAACCTCAATTTAAGGGCAAAACCAACTCTTTCACCAGCTAGTAACAAAACAAAATAATCTGGCATAATTAACCCCTATCAAATCTGAGTTTCCCATCCAACTGAGGTGGGGGGATAAAAAGGTCTTACAATTTTTATTAATTCTCTATGGTCCCTATTAATACCAATCAGCCAAATGCTAATGCTTTTCCCTAGGCTCTTCCACTAGCCAAAATGACTGGAAAATGAAAAAGAAATCATTATCACCAGTGCCATCATTTCACAAAGATCTACCTCATGAAATTTAAATGACATTTGAGGAGAAAAGTGTGAAGATCTCTTTTATTATTGTGCTCTTACTAGCCAGCATAATATTATGTAAGAGCATTAAGAGCTATTAAAAGCACATTTTGACAGTTTTATTTGTTCTCCATTTGCTACCTTTACCTGTCCCTGTAGCAGCTCCAGGGCTGCAAGGCAAAGCATCAGCTCACTGCAACTCTCTCATGGAAAACCTGAGTGTAGAGTGGAACCAGTGAATGGCCCTGGACAGACGGGTCCACCGATCTCTATGGAGGTTACTGTGTTACTTTGCTGGGGAAAATCCAGTCCATTCAGCTTAGTGTCATGAAAGGATTTCAATGGAATTTTTGTAATTATTCTATGTAATAATTATTTCATTTTACTCTAGCAGTTATCTATTTTGGCCTCTTCAACATCCTCCACATGTCTTCTGATAACGGAAACTCTTTCTGCAAGGAGCCTCTTCTATATCGTTTATGTAGGGTTGATGCTCCTTGCCTCCAACCACACACCCTAGCCCTGTCACCATCACCCACATAGGGTGGCCTGATTCTTAAGAGCACCCCATCCTTGTTAGCCTAAAGAGATGGAGGAGCTTTGGGACCTTAAACCAATAGTCGTCTGGGGGCTGAAATCAGCTGGTTGAAAAGGGAGCTATCTAGTGTTTCCACTGGTAGCTTGGTCTAGCAAACCTTTTCACTGGTTTACTCGGTAAGTTCAGTGGATGGAATAGTGCTATGCATGCTCTTCAGCTATATATCTGCAATTCCACTTAAGGCAAAGTCACTGGCTTTGCCTCAGTTGCCTTATACATGCTTAGGGCATGGTGTGGCCGCTGTCCTCAGACAGACCCAGCAGAGGGAAGCTCTCGCTAGCCCTGGGGAGTCACCCACTACCAAGGGCATGAGAACAAAGGCACCGTAGAAACAGACCATGGCCGATGCGGGTTTTCACAACATATCATTGCGTTTCTTAATTATACATGCCCAGTGTTGAAAACTTACTAATATAGAAAGTTGTGATGAACGAAAAAAGGCAACTCTTGCCCTGTTATGAGCACCCAATTTTACATACGTTATTTGTCAAAACAGTACTCTGGTAATATCTTTAGTTGACTGCTTTTTTCACATAAGAATACACTGCAAATATTTTCTCATATAATGATAGTTTGTAAAAGATGGGAAATTTGTTTCGAGAATGATGCCTATTTTTTAAATATTTGATTTTCGAATACTGCCAATTGCATTTCCCTGTATGGAGATTACAACATCAAGGTAGCCAAGAGAAAAGAGCGCAGTAGGACCTCACCAATGTAGACAGATCAGGGAGAAGGCTGGAAGTCTATGAGAGTTAAAAGTGATTTACAAGCTGCTTCTTTAATGTAGTATCTTAGCTACAGACAGTCTGTTGACAAGGCTCGGTAGGGCCTCAATCAAGTCAGGAAGTACAGTAAGCACAGCAAATCTGCTGCCCAGGTTCGCAGGCCTCGTCTCACGTTTACAATCTCATTGTATTTTTAAGTTGGTGTGTCTAGCGTGTTTCCAGCGTGCTTGGGAACAGTGTGTTC